ATATCTAAAGATGCCTGATATGGCTGGTACGACGCCATTTGATGAGTGGCAAAGTTAATCCCGTATTATTAAGTAAAATAAGGGGGGGTGTAAAATTCATGACTTAGCTTTGTGCCGTATCAGAAGTAGCCCCCGTTACGTAACGTGTGAAAGTTGTCGTAGTACCTTCGTATAGAGGGTACCTTTGTGTAGGACGCATGGATGTGTGAATTGCATTGTTATTTCAAAAGGACTAATGTTATGTATAGAGTAGTTTGTCCTGATGAGTACAAATGTCCTTGGAATAGCATTATTTGAAGGGTCGTCATGTTGGTTTAATGGCTGGATGATATGACTTGGGCGATTCTGCAAATCCGAGAGGTGGCCTACAATCATTTCTTCTAAACAGTAGAGCTATGCCAGGGGTACTATAATGTGAACCGTATTATTGTGTCAAGAATACTGAATTTTGAGGAGTGTCATTATTCGTAGGGTCATATTCTATGTAGAACAGTGCTGTGTGAGGAGGAAAATTGGTTAAGATAATACAAAGGTTTAGAGAGTCGAATTCCTTGAGAAGCACGGCAGTTGTAACAATCATACCATTTCACCAATACACTGGCTTGTAAAATAATTCCATTCCAGGAATACGCATATACCAATCCTAAGGCTATTCATGCTGTATAAGAAACCGAGGGATACTATCACTAAAAGGGGTTTCAACATACCGAGGGTGCTTATATATAGGAAGAATTTTTTATAGGCGAAGTAACACTGTAAGTACAGTAATACATCGAGAACTGTGATTATTCCTTCTCACTATTATTGTAATATAGATTCAATAATTATCCGAGTACTATTAAGAAACAATGATTACGGAAGATTCGCACACCTGCTTTAATCTGTAGTATTTTCCTCTTAACAAGACTCGAAATCGATGCGGTACTATTAAAATATAACAATTATGTAAAATAAAAGATTAAATTTCTTATACTCTAGGAAGGAATAGGATATTATAAAGGGAATAGTACTATATAGAACGGGCTGTTCCTCGTGGAGAGTTAGGAATAATAATAACATGGAACGTGCGGAGAGGATAAAATGAGCATAAGAATAAGAATACACAGAAGATAATAAGGAATCATTAATCTAAGAAGGGGGGAAGCAATCATATAGGAGCGGATGACTAAAATAAAATGTATCTACGAATACAACTAACATATTTGAGAAAATTATCTACTTCAGCGGACGGAGAGAGATATATGTAAAACCATATAATACACCACGAACCAGTGGAGATATCAACATGACGGTCAAAGTCGAAATGCCTAAAAGAAAAGGTACATAATTAATACATACAGAAGAGACAACACGAGAAGAGAGGATACAGGAAAAGATGCTCATGGGATGAACATTAGACACTACACCCAAAGCATAGAACCAAGAAACACAGTAGGGGTGAAACATAAGGAATAATGTGAGCAGCAGAACTTTCCCTCTGACAAAATAGATATATGAAATCGAGGATTTCATGTTTTCTAATATATGGACAGAAGAATAAAAGCAGGTAATATCTTGAATCTGTGCTTAGTTCATGGAGTATAATAAATCGTACAATAACAACATTTTTGTCTGTATCTAAGACTATGGACGATGCTATAAAGGGCGTCTCCTTATTCACCACAGGAGGATGTGGAATGTTAAGTGATATTCATAACGACTTTTATGCATAAGAAAGTATACGACCCTACGATGAATACATTCCCTCAATACGCTAGAAACCTGTCTTATAACTGAGTCCTCTTCAACAAACATGTTATGGAATTTTTCTAAAGAGTAGGAAGATGTCAGTAACTACATGATCCAATTGGCAAGGATATGATTTTTATATGTGTTTTAACTGTGAAGCTCTATGAGAATATAACGAAGAAAGAAACAGTTACTTCCCGTATTAGTGAGTCAAATAGTTTTATAGACTTATTGTGTCTTATCCCAAGTGATTAATTAAAGGAAATTCGCAGGGGAATTCGTGAGTTGTTATACAAGGAATCTACCAAAAGGAAGGGCTAGTTATGTTTCCCTAGATGATCATAATGTAAGAATTCCAGAAAAATCTTGAGCGAATAGGTATTCAGGTAGCTGGATGACAAATATTGTTCCTCGATGGCATATTTTCTTTACTATCTAAAGAATCATGGAAGATCAAATGCAGAAAGCAATATTAATCTGCTGAACAGTAAATGAGAACCAATCTCTGAAGTAGCACGAAAGAAATAATCTAATGGTTAACAATCTAATGACCGACAAAAATGTATACAGAAGGAAGAAGCCCGAAGAAAAAATCAGGCAACAACACGAACGACAACCAACAGAGAAATCTATACCCTAGGAGAACTAATGAATTAGATTAGGAGAACCAGATGGATGAACAAGCCCAAATGGTATGCCCCAAACACCAGGCAAGCTATCAAAAAAACCCAGAAGACAAAAACGGGAAAAACATAAAAGAGGCGCCCAAGAAACTAAAGCATGCGGGAGGTGTAACGAGAAGTGTCAAAGTAGAACTCGTATAAAGATGAAATTAATAAATGCCCCATTAAAATAATCAATATACAGAATTAAATAAGAAGGACATGGACAAGAGACAGTAAAACAAAAAAAGGGTGGCCAAGCAAACATCTGGGGCCCCAACTCGAAACAGCAATCTAGCAGCCTTAAAGGAGCCCTTATCTCAGTAAGGATAAACTCTATGTGAGGTATTGAGTAAGATATAATAAAGTATAGTAGAAACAGACCAGCTAAAACGTTAAGATCGCACTCGAAAGGAAAGAAATAAGCCAGCAGGCAGAAGTAAGAGAAAAGAGATTCCGTCAACTCGGGGAAACAGGTAGATTTAACTTCAACAATCAAGAAGGACAAATATAAACAACAATAAATAGCATTCTATAGTATTCCAAAACTAACCTCCGAAGCGCAAAAGAACCAAACTAGAAGGAAAGGAAAAGAACAACGTCCAACTACTCTTTTAGCCCAGACACATTGAACTACCAAACCAAAGACGAAGTGTCAACTCAGTGCCCGTAACTAAATGTACCGCGTGCATATGGAGCCTTATAAAGAAGGAAAAAATTGACTGCATGTCCCCAAAATGAGTGAGATAAAAAAAGTAGATAACAAAACCACCCAACGGATTCTCCAGGAGGCGTAGCAATAATCCAAAGATGAAGATTCTTCAATACAATAGATACCATTATAAAATCTCGGCGAGTGATGAGTTCTCAATAGGAACTATTCCCGGGACAAATTCTAAGGTCGGAGAGGAAATCAGGAGGTCAAACCCATAACTAAAAAGAAGCCAATCCCCCTACAAATCCAAACCCAGTTCACCCCAAATAGGAAAAGGTTTACACAAATGAGCGAACATCAATAAAAAAATAAAGGAACATCAAGACAAGAACAAGTATAGAAGCAACAGTAACTAAGGAGAATGATATACGACAAGTCATTTATCTCATACAATAAACAACAGGAGGAAAATCTGCCATGATTGAGGAACACAAAGACAAAAGGAAAAGCGAAGACATAGTAACAACGAAGTAGTTACAATGGAGAAAGTAAGAAATCAAGTTGATTGAGAAATCCAGCCCAAGCAGATAACCCCCAAGAAAAGAGATGGTTTCCACGGGTAATGAAAAGATCCCAGTGAACTAATAGAGGACACCAAAGATAGCGAAACAGGAACTCATTAGGAACAGACAAAAAGGGTTGGTATAAGAAAAGGAACTAGCAGGATTTATTAGAAGGCCACGAAGCAAGCACCAGCCCGACTGTGCAAAGCCCAAACCAGGTCACAAGAATATTGTCAGATGAAGGGGGGATAAGTCCAACAGTCCTCGTGCCCCTTCATTTAAGGAAACACCGAACACAGACCTTAGAAAAGACTGGGAAGGACAAAAGGATCAAACAAAGATGCCTAAATACAAATAGAATAAAACAAGGATTCAGCCTAAAGCCAAAACAATAAGGAAAGGAGGAAACAGGAGGCGAGACCAAATAGTCCAGAAAGATAAAGGGCAGACAAAGAAAAGGGAAGATACAAATCTATGTTCAGGAACAAATGGAAAATTAGGAGGCTGAGGTGTATTGAGGAAACGGAGGAAATCTTTAACAGAACAACAGGAACCAAAACTAAAGGGGAACACACAACACCGCAAGCACGAGTACTCCGTTTGTTTGAAGAAAACACCCCATGAAATCCAGAGAAGGGAGTCCGACTTAGTAGGAGATATAATCATGAGGAAATCAGAATTGCATAAGCGTGACTCAAGTGTGAACGGTCACCCAAAGAGACGCCAGGAGCAGGGAGGAATCAACAGGAGAGAAGCCTGAAAACGAAAGCAGGGTTTCCTCCCCATCAAAACTACAACCAACAGCCCACTTCCTAAAGTCAATGATCAAATGAATCCAGAGAAAAGGACGTAATACAACCGGAGGAACCCGAAAAATCTAATGGTCTGAACGTCTGAGTATAAGAGAAAGCCAAAACGAGAAATCGAAAGAGAAAGAAGAAAAAAAAAATGAGTCTAATCGCAACCAGCTAAATACAAACTAGAGGAGGCTAGAAATACCCAGAGTAACAGAGCATAGGAGTTTCAAAAATCTTCAAATCGAACGACAAATCTCCCAAGTAAATACAAGCAGGAAATAAACAAATAACCTCCCCAAAACCACGTAAGAACGCCCCCCAAGGAGGGAAGAGAAACGGCAAGAAAAAAGTGAAAATAAGCCAGACTCGGCCGAGTTACGCCAGGGCACACAACTTCAACAATAATCTGAGATCAAGTAACTATATGAGCAAGGGATTCAATTGGGCTTCTAAAGGAGCAATAAAAGATCTAAAACATGAACAAATACGGCGCCAGAGGAAGGGAAGGATAGGACCGATTCCCAGAATCAGGAGAATAGAGAAGAGAAATTAAGTTGAGGCGAATACTCAATTTGAAGAAGGGAAAGATAAGAAAGGGAGCAACGAAAGGAATATCGCGTGCCACACAACCATAGGACAAAAAGGCGGAGTGAAGAGAAGTAACCCCCAGGACGGAGGAGAACCGAAACCGCAAAAGCAGCAACTAAGCCTCCCAAAACGGGTGCCCAGGAGGAGAGAAAGAGAAAAGCGGAATCGCCGAAACAACAAGGGACCAAGGCGGAAAAAAAGGGACAGCCAGAGGAAAAGAAAAGCCCGCCAGGCGACCTTTGAATCTAACAGAAATAAAAGGGCACAGTTGCCAGAAAGGACGTCAGGAGGATGGAATAGGGCAAGATGAGCGACAAGAAAGATTACCAGAGGAGGCAGTTTTCTGAAGCCGACGAAAACCTAATGAATGGTAAAGAAATCCTAAGTTCAACAGGGAATGTAAAAGGAAAGGATATACACAGAAACTAGGAACTCCCCTGCCTAATCAAAGGAAGGCTAAGGGTGAAGAGGATTCATCCAAACCTCACAACAAGAAGCAGCAATTCTTCATTGGACACATCTAGGGGGCAGAATTTTAGTCAGAGCCGAGGCTGTTATAAGAGGCCAGCAACACAAGAAAAGTCTTAGGCCAAAAGAAACGAGCTCATACAAGCATGGGAAGAGAGACAAAATCTGAGGAAGATTCTAACAGATCCAAAGTCCACATCTACGGACCAACTATCATAAAACCTCCAAAATGCAAGGAACCAGAAGCCTAGTATTCAGAAAACCCAGGAGAAGGGAAATACTGAAACGAATGAGTCAGGAATCCTCAAAGTCATGAACTGAAATAACAAGTCTTTATGAACAAGGCAGGAAAACAATCAGGAACTCTCAACTAACCAAACAGGCAAGAACAGGAAAGAGTCGAGAAATATAAGCTGGGCAGGCGTGATGAGTCTACTAGATTAAACCGAAAGATTCAGAATACTTCTGACACCCGAATAAGAGGACACGAAAAAAATATCTAAGTCCCCCCCCAAGTCAATACGTGAAATCCCCCCAAATCCAACAAGAAGACATCAAACCTCTTCAAGAGCAGAGAATTTCTCCATGCAACATGAGGTTAAAAGTATTTCTACCAGATTTCCCTCCGGGAAGGCATAGTTCTTAAGGGGTATGGAGGAGTAGATAACGCAAGGATCAGAAGGAGGAATCGGGGATAAAGATTCCGAGATGATCTCACAGACTGACTCTCAAGCAAGTGCCAACGAACAGGAACAGGCAAGGAACACAAAATGGACCAAGGCTAACACCCCAGGAGGAGTAATACTGTGAACGAAAGCAAGAGCAGCGTAGAAGCTAAAGTCTTGAACAGACAGGAGGGAGCAGCCTGAGGCACAAACGACAGAGTTAAGATCCCAGCCAAATTCAGATCTCAAACAACGTCCTCCGCGAATTAAGACAAGGCACAGATATGAAGCAGGGACGAAAAAGCACGCAGATGCCAACAATCCGATAAGGAGAACACTGGCCGAAAAGACAGTATCAGGCAAAAGAATCTCTTCAAGCCTAAGCAGATTCCACTTCATGATTAGGGGCGGAAAACCGAGAAGGTACCCACAAGTATCAGACACAGCACCAAAAACAAAGAAACAGCACCCAACAAGACAGCACTAAGGTGAGGGGGTGTTTTCTGGGACAAAGCAATACCGAGAAGAATATCAAAGAAGAAGGAGCAATGAAAGCCCTAAAAGTCAGGCAAAGGAAAAGGGAGGGCACGTAAAATCTCTAGACAATGGGACGTTAGAAATAAGACGCCAGGAGCCACAGATCAAGTTCCAAACAGGCAACAAACTCCTGAGTAGGGTAGGCGGGATCAGCGAAGGAGCCGACTACACCAATTCAATCCAATTAGTGTAACCGCCAGCAAACTGGAGATTATCGCCATTAGCTTCATGAAGCACGAGAAGAAATCAGCGAGGGAAAGAACGGCGGAGTAAAGGGGCAAGACGAGATAAGGGAAGAGAAATAAAGGGGACCCAGGGACCCCGTAAAAGAGGAACGTAAGGAAAAATTCGACGACGAAAAACGATGAGCAAGGGGCAAGACAACGAAGGTTAACAGAGCACACGTTGCATGACGTCAGAAGAAGAAAAAAAACACACCAAAGAATCACACTCTTAATCCAAAGGAAGATATATAAGGGTACCATGATCCGAACACAGACCAGAAGAAAAGAGCTAAAGCGTGATGCAGTAAAGAGGAGGATGCAAAAAGAGCAAATACCAGCGACTACGTGCTACAAATTAAGATTCGCCAACTCCAAGACAAAAGACGCCGATGGTTCACATGAGAGGTTCAAATGAGAAGAAGAGGGGGAGATATGACCAACCACCATTACGGTATTAATCCCCCCAGGAGGAAAGGGGTTGGAGAAGCGAACAGGTCACGGAGAAGAATACGAGCCTAGGTAGTGAAAAAGACGACCAAAGATCTGGGGCGAATTCCAAGTTCCGAAAATCCCGGCACGAAAGCAAGGGCGGGTGGAGGAGGAAGATTCAAGATAGCGATAATTGAAAAATCCCCCAGAACGAGCAAGAGCATAATAACCAAAATGAAACAACGAAGAAGCAGGCTAATTAAGGCACAGAACAAGCCGAGGAGGAGAGGGTACAAATGTAGCCCAAAGCGGAGCCGAATTAGCAGCTCAAGACTTACACAACAGCGAGAGGATTGTCTAGACGAAAGAGTAGGAGCCTGCAAAAAGGGAAACTGAGAACTCACCAGACCTCCGAGGGGGGGAGATGGAGCCGATGCATTTATAACCAAAGGAGGACGAAAAATAGCCAAGACAAAACAAGAAGGAGAGGAAGAGAAACAAGTAAATCGCTGAGTCCCTCCATGTAAGATGAGCACTTCCAACAGCCACAGACTGGAGACAATAAGTTCGTTGACGCGCGAAATAATGAGGGGACAATGATACTTAAGGGGGAGAGAGAGACCCCAATCCTCCCAAAGAATCAAGAGCAGAAGAAGTCACAAATGAGCGAGCGGCATGGCACGGGACGTAGTGAACCCCCAGCAGAAACAAGAGGTCGTAGGAGTCTGACCTGAGTTAAGAGGAAGGTAATGAAAGATTGAGAACCCGAAGCCGTCGGGGTAATGAGCATCCGAAGCAAAAACCTGAGATTGAAAACTGAAAGAGAGTTTGGAAGAAGGAATAGGAGACAGGATTCTAGAAAGGGAAGGAAGGATAGAAACAAAATCAGCAGTCCACATGGAAAAAGGGGCGACAAAGAGGAGAAGGAGAATTACTGTCTATATCATCCCTCAGAAGAGACCAGCCCCTCCGGTGGGTACGTCTTAGGGACCCAACAAAGAAACGACAGGACCAAAGGAGAACACGCCAAGAACCAGCAGAATAGACGTATGTGCTCTGACTCCCCCGCATGGACCGATTCCTAATAAAAAATCACAAACAGACAGAGGGGCCAAATCGGAGGCTAGCGGAAACAAGGGTGAGTTATCGTATTTGGGGTTAATGACAAGGACATAAAGACTGGATAAGACAACCGGAAAGGGGGG